TAACTACTTTCAATTAAATTTTTCACCGATATGAACTTATTTATTTAAATATTTCAATGCTTCTGTACATGTACTTCTAGAACTTTTAAATTTTATTTTGTCTAAACTTATCAAAAATAATCCATATGTGACTTTAAAACAAGAAAGTCCATATGTAAAATGCACGTCTTCTTTTCATTGCTGTATACATTGGTGATTGAAATAAACTCTAGTTGATGTAAACTATTACATGTACGAACATTTATTCCTGAATATTCCACATAATCCCAGTAATGCTATCATTGCACTAGATATCATATTAATCAGCAACACCGTTCGATCTTATTAATCCGAAAGTAAATAGAGAAATGTTATGAATATGTATTTATTTACTAAGTTCGAGGACAACATGCGTTTTGTCGGACCCAAGAATCAAACTGCTTGCCTGAGATCGTCAGGCCAAAGGCAGATAAACAATTTAGTTTATGGGTCGAAAAAAAACCATTTTCCCCGAGAACACAGTCAATAAATGTTTTGTTTATACTTATTTTTTTCTACAAAAATTTGTCTTGTATATAAATTCCGTGATATGATCTGATTTTGAATTTGATCGAATACTAAGGAATGCGTATGGAATTTAGCTCCGCCAACTGTGTGGCATACATTGTAGCGGTCCAACATCTCATCGACAGGTCAATCAACGATTTTTCCATACCCACTCAGTAAAACTAAAATGTTAGACATTTTTTCCATTAAGATTTGCATAGGGACAATTTTTTAAAGGTATAACAAACGTTATTAATGTTCAAAGAGAAACCTAAATGATTCTAACAGTGAACTTAATATCACCAGAGTTTCACATATTTATAATGGCAATGTGAATATATAAACAAGCTTGAGATCAACTGTTGCATCCAGTTTTGGAGGACGGGAGAGCCTTTGCTAAGCTGTACGTACCTTCTGACTTGTCAATCTCTATATGTCCTGCAAAGTCGTACAATTCGTTATTTGGCGTTAAATGGGTGTTGTCATTTATATGATTATATGTCTCTTCGATGCATGAATATGGATCATTATTGTATTAAATATTTTTCCGGATTTTTTGAATTTGAATCTGTGATTCACCGACGCAAACGGCTCTTTCGGAATGCTTGTACAATACATTTTGGAGTGCTAAATTGCTTCCATTCTGCAGGATAGGCGTATTGCGATATCTGCTAAATGATTAAAATTATTTATTACGTACATTTTTGTGAGAAAAAGACCTGTAAAATTTTAATGAAACTTACATAAAATACATTGTTTTAAAGGTGAAAAGAAATGCAGCATTCTTTTTTATTTTCCTTGTAAGATGTAAATTCTCAAATCTCTAACTACACTCAAAAACTTTTTATTCACTTACTTCGAACGCTTCCAAATTTTCTTGAAAACAACTGAAGCACAAATTGAAGAGGTTAAGCCAAGAAAATATCCAATAACTCCAGCGATGATAAAGATATCTTCCACTTTATTATAATTGATTATTGCTTAATTAGTAGTAGTTTTAGTATTATTATTATTATTACTAAAGGAGAAAATTCATAACTCAAAATTCCATAAAAATAATAAAATGTATATGAAAACAAATCTTTTATCTTTTTGTTTCTTTGTGTTTTCTTTATTTGTGTCTTCAAAAAATATTTATAAAGTAAAGTTTAATGAAATCCTATATCAAGTAGGTCCAAGAAAGAGTCTGTTGAATTTGTCACAATTTTTATTAAATTCTATTTTGTTAATTATTGTGTACCATAGTCTCATGTTCATTATATAGTCGTTAGAAATAGTTAGTCACGACTTGTACAATTTGTCGACATGTCAGTGTGTAAAAGGCTGTAAAAGTGAGATGTGTTCGCCATAAGTAAAATGTTATTTTACCTGTGTGTTAGAGAGATATTTCCATACATTAGGTCCGAATGTCTAGTGTGTTAGATGTTTTCTTTTGTCGATATAATCGAGAAATTTTTAGACCATTTACAGCGATGAGTTGGAACTGTTTATATTCTTTGCAAGTGTTTTTTTTTTAATTTGCTATAAATTCATTATTCGATAATTTGGTAAAGTATATTGTCTGTGCTTGATAATATACTAGATATATACATAATTTGAATTGTTTACATGACACATTTTTTTTCATGGAGATCATTTTTCTGAAACGTTTACTGTAGGTACTAAATTATCTTATTTTTCTCATAATCTCAGTCTGTAATTTTGACTTTTATACTTTGTTTATTGTATTTCAGTGCTTTTATTTCCTTAATAAATGATGCAAACTTTAACATTTGTCTTGCTGCTTGGTTATACATGTATTACATGTATATAAGACGTTGACAGTTACCTTGCGTCGCACCGGAAGTTACAGGAACTCTTGGCAACGACTGTTTGTATGGATAATTCGAACAGAGCAGTTAAATCTTCCGTCACACTTATACAGAGATCTTCGGATATTTGTACATGGCAAAGAAACATTGACGGGTTGGATTAGTAGATATTTTAGTCGGTGTATTGAAACTTTTCTTCTGTTCGTGATTACTTTGTTGCTTTTTATTTGTATGAGTGGTGTTGGTTTGAGTGGTGTGTATGTGCACGTGTGCAGATTTTTTTTTTCATTTTTTTTGTGCACTTGATATACAGTATTTGTTTACACGTACTATTTACGCTTTTTTCGCTTTTTTTCAAAGCTTGTTTACAGTTACGGAATATTTTCATGCCATTATCGCAAATTGTGACAAAATTAAATCAAAATTGTAATAGTATGCTATCAATACTTTACAATGAATTTTAAGGAAAAGGCTTTATAGTGTTAATTTAAATCAATCTAACAAAAACGCACATGCGTGCCAAAATTCCCATGAACGGTTTTTGGACCATCGACACATTTCCGTCCCCTCATTTGATATCCATCCATACAGAGACAGTGACCATCAACACATCGTACAGCAGGATCTGCATTAGTGCACTGCGGAGAGCGAAAACATTCCTGACCAACAGATAAATTGCCTAAATAAAAAAAATGGGAGAACTACTTCTAACAAATGTAATTTGATTTATTGAAAAATTTGAAAAAAGGGATTTGTCAAATCGTGCATTCATACCTGGAAGACAGTCTCCACGAAAATTTGAATAACCCTCATCACAATTGCATTGTTTACTAACTGTAAAATTTACACTTCCTGCATATTTGCAGCTTCCAGCATTTTTTGTACCACTGCACTGTTCATTAAATTCACAGCTTTCTCCAAGAAGCAGTGTACCTGTGGTATATAATGAAACTAAACTTACAGATATGACAAAAAATTGAAACAATAGAATTTTGAAACTCGGGTGGTTTCACTATTTTTTAAAGAATTTTTCGTTTTCAGCCATGGTTGTGCAATGCGTCTTCAACCTACATGCACCTGATGCAGGGCCTCCGAAGGTCATCATCAGAACATTTTAACATAAGACTTTTTATTTTATGTAAAGTATTAACTAAATAAAATAAATTTTAACTTTTCTCTTACCAGGTAAGCACTTTTGTTCCTTTAGAAGAAATCCTTCTTGACAGTGACAATATCCATCAACACATCGATCTGCATGTCTTGTACTGGAACACTGTGATGAAAGGTAGCATTCATTTCCTACTGATAAATTACCTGGAATAAAACATGTAAATATAATTTTTTTTCTATCAGAGTGTAAATCTTTTGTATTTCAGTTTAAATACATTTAACTCAACTATTTTAAACCCTTTTTTATTTAATGTTACATATATTTTGAAAATCAGAATATTTCAAACGATTGTTGTATCTATGTATACATGTATATACCCGGAAGACAGAGTCCTAGCACCGGTAGGAAGTTATCGTCGCATTGGCATGATTTCTCTTGGTTAAAGTTTCCAGATAATTCTGAGTTTTACACTTTCCAGCATTTTCGCTTCCAGAACATTGTATACTTAAAGAGCAACTTTCGCCAAGTCGCCTTTTGCCTACAATGATCAAAATTAAAACGAAAGGATTTTCTCCTTCAAGTATTTTACTCGACTCATACAGCTAAATAAAAACATTACTTTTAAAGCAGAAATCATTCATTTGGATGGTATAAATAAAATGCAACATTTCGTTGAAAACAGAAATTTTAATAAACTGCATATTATTTCTAGAAATACCAAGTGTTCAATGTAATTCAAGTTTATACCTAATAATTTTAGAATATAATATAAAGCATAAAATTTGATGGGAAATAAAAAATAATCCTATTAACATTATTTGATTATAACATGGTGTAGGTGCCTCTGTGGTATTCAAAACTGCTGTGGAACTCACATTTTTAAGGATTATATACATTTTGTCAAAATGGATTAAATGTATCAGATCCATGTTAAAAACACGTATTAAAAGATTGAGGGGCAATATGAAAACAATCTATCCTTCAGTATTTAGTAATCCAGAACTAAAAAAAAGAATTAGATAGATTACGTGATCAGTTTTGTATATATATTGAATATCGTAAAGAACCAAAATGAATTTGAAATACCGTATGTACCCTGCATATTAAATTCCAAAACTTCATAAGAATTCTTACAAACAAAGATTCATGGCGGATTTCAGTAAATAATCAACCAAACCTCTTTCTTTACTCCTCACTTATAGTCCATGAGCCAGGCCATGAATATTTCGGTATTTGTACCATCTCGGGTGAATAAATTTCATAGTTAATTTTTGAAGGACATACATCTCTACCTTCAGAAAATGTATGATAGCATTCAATTGATTGTGGCTTTAATGGTTTATCAACTGTTTATATACACCAACCCAACGTGTTCGTTCTCTCAACTGTTTCTCTGAAAGAAGAAGGTTGGTTTTTCAATACGCAATTTCTATCTTAATTCGGATAATATTTTCTTGAAAATTCTTTTGAATGCAGACCATGCTATTACCCTGTTCAGTTATTATTCAATATTGGCTGTGTCATGAGCTGTCTAAATTATATAGGAATATAATTCTACCCTTGATCATAAAAGTGGAATACATGTATGCAATGTTGAAATTTTGAACAAATTACTACTGTGACAATTTTCACACAAAAAACATATTGCATGGTCATTTTATTTAAAGAATTTCTATCACGTATTAGTATTTCAAAACATTTTGTCAGTAAAAAATAAATATAACTTGATTTTGTGGGCTGTGTCTCACGACCTGCAATGGCGTAACGACCCTTCCCTCCACTAGTCCGGGTAAAAAGAACCCTCTTAAGGGAGATCCCTCTAGGAGAGCACTCTCTACACAAAGCGCTGAAGGGTCTCAATTCCTGTTGATTGAGGGCTTGCCTACCCATAACGCATGTAAAGAATGTGCACCGGCGAACTCTGCGGAGGAAACCGTCATGGTTCATTGGAGGAGAAGACGGACACAGCAAGCACCGTGGAATAATTGGAGCAAGGTAAGGCACATATAGCACGTCTTAGTCTTCTGTTGTATCTGTCTTCATCTCCAGACGTCCTAACATCTGTCTTGCCACTGGATCTAGATGGTTGCGGGCGATAGAGTGAGGTCGGCGACGTGCAACCCTTCTTCATTTTATTCAAACTCATAGCGCAAGACAATGAGCATCTTCCATCCCTTCTATCATCCAACCCAAAGCCCTGTGGCGACAGGCGAGCAACGAAGGTGACAGGTGCGGGTTCACTGGAAGTCGGTAGTCGTGGACCTGCACACAGGCGGCACAGACCATATGGTCGCTCTTCACTGACCAGAGCAGCGGTGGAGTTCGGCAGCCCCCTGTGTTACTGAGCAGTCCTCTTTAGGAACGCACTGCTCACCTCCATGACAAGAGGAGCAGATTATAAAAGGTATTCCAAACTTTCCCTAGCCAGTTTTCCGCGGCTGATGTGAACCAAACACATGCGAAATAAAGAGAACAAGAAAAAACAAGGATCAGGACAACGTCATTGTCAGGATGAGAGACAGACAGACAGTTCATCTGTTCACCAAGGCTATGTGCGGCGCGGAGTGCTGGAAAGATCACTGTCTCACAGTCTTTAAACTTCACCACTAAACTTCCGGATCAAACTCAGGATACGTCCTCAAGAGACTAAGGCTTCAAAACGTCTCAACGTTGGTAAGCTCAAGTTGCCTTTACCTCTCTCCGTACTTTGCTGACACCCTGGAAGAACGCCTGAACTCCACCGTGCTGCATGGGGCACAGTTCTTAATACTGTGTACAGTACAGTCTTTGAGTGTCTTGGGCCCTCCACCAAAAATAACACAAAGACTGGTTTGATGAGAACCAACCCGAGATCATGCAGCTTCTTGAGGACAATCATCGCGCTTCCAAGGCTCATAAAGATGATCCCACCTCTACAACCATGAAAGACGCTCTGAGGAACGCTGGCAGCATAGCACAGCAACAACTTCGGGATATGCAGGACTCCTGGACCAAAGCTGACGAGATCCAACTTACGCCGAATCTCATGACAGGCCTAGGAAAAACTTTTACTGTGTACTTGGAGAAGTCTACGGGCCAACTCCATCAGGCTCGTCCCTTCTCCTCAGTGATGACGAGTTAACACTCATCAAAAGAAGGAAAAGATACTGGACAGGTGAGCGGAACATTTCATTGGTGTTCTGAACCGTCCTTCTACCATCAACGACGAAGCCATCAACCGTCTACCCAGAATCCCATCAAATAGTCACTGGATGCCGTTCCCACATTGGATGAGATCCAGAAAGCAATTAGTCTGTTTTCAACTGGCAATGCACCTGGCCGATATCCCGATACTCCATCCCAGCTGAGATTTAGAAGGAAGGGGGCATGGCTCTAATCGGAAAACTCCATCATCTGCTTGTGCGAGGATCTGCCTGACCAGTCACCTCAACACCCACCGTCCAGGTCATCCCCCTTCCACAACAAAAATGAGACAGGGGTCATCGTCGTCACCGACGGACGAATAACTAAACTAATATATGTGCGTTGGTACTTATCTTTTCATTATACAAATTTTTGAGATACATATAATTGTTGAATAAAAGGGGTAAAAATATGCATTTTTTGTTAGAATCACGGCTAGTAACTCAGTTAATGCTCTTTTAATATGTTCATCATATCTCGGAGTATTCTGGTAAAACTTTCTATCACGGTTGGCAACTGTGTGAAAAACACTTTGCAGGTTGCAAATATAATTAGTTCAAACTACCTAATTTGAGCAAATAAAGGGCAATAACTGTGTCTCCAGCATTAAAGCCACAACTGATTTGATGCTATCATACATTTTCACACTCGTTAGGGGTATACCTTACCAATTATCACTATCAAGTTTATTCACCCAAAATGGTACCGACCACCCCCAGTGGCTCATGGACTATTAGATATCAACAGTTGTGAAGGAGAAACTTCAGGAGTACTGTGCAACAATATATTCAAGAAGTGATTTAAATAAGATATGGATACTTAAAAACTGCAAGGAACTTTTGGACAATTTGAAATCAAAATTTTACAAAAATCAGCAGGTTAATCATGTTAATATTCCCCACGATAAATTAAACTTCAGACTTTTAGATATTATTGACAGCTGCTTTTTCAATAAAAATGGAACTCGTAAATTTACCATGCCATTGCTCATTTACTTAATTATTTTGTAAAAACATTTCGATCATACAGACAAGCACTCTGAAGTTGACTTCAAAAAGATGTTTGAGTTTCTGATTGACAATATCTATGTTGTTTTTGGTGATCAGATCTTCAAACAATTGGTATTCCCATGGTTCCAATTCCGCCCTTTATTAGCACATTTATTCTTGCATTCATATTAAGCAGAAATCGTGCAAAATCTTATGCGTGAAAAGATGAAAACACTTGTTGTGGCCTTCAACTCGACATTTAGATATACCGACTATGTATTGTCAATAAACAATGGTAATTTCCATTCTTATGTCGATACGATATAGTCTGGTGAGCTTGAGATAAAAGATACCATAGAGTCTGACACATCTGTTTCATTTTTGTTGGGGATAATTTACTTGAAAGACGTTAATGGTAATCTAACAACCAAGTTCTATGAAAAACGTGAAAACTTTAACTTTTCTATCGTCAACTTCCCTTACTTGTGCAGCAATATTCCTTCATCACATGCATAGGGAGTTTATATATCTCAGTTGATTCGATACGCAAATGCATGCTCTATGTATGAACAAATTTTAAGATGATGTAAATTATTGACAAACAAGTCGATGAAACAAATTGTTCTCGTTTGAGGTAATGATTTCAAAATTTCTATGGTCGATATAATAACCTTGTCATTTGACCTGTCAAATACAAGTTATCCTTGCGTCAAGTGTTGACTGATGTTTTTCATACTAATTGTTAGTCTGTTATTTATACACTGAATTGACGATGGGTTTTCCGTCATTTCCTGATCATGACATGAAGAACACAGAAGGTGTGGCCGGTCGTCAGGGAATGCTCACTCCTCCATGGCATGATCCCACCTCTAATGTTTTGGAGGTCCGTGTTTGCCCTGCTACTATTTTGTATCGTTTTATGGACTTTTGATCTTGCCTACTGTTCGCTATCATCTCCATATGTTTCATAAGTCATAAACTTTTTTTAATGAACATGCTCTCATATATCTGAACAATAATTTCACTAGAACATATATTACGCATTCTTTTTTTCTGACTTTGATGTATGTTTTAAAACAGAAATCATAT